AAAAAAAAAAAAAAAAAAAAAAAAGAAAAAAAAAGAAAAAATTCACAACTGTCTTTGGGTTTTTTAATGTCCCTTTTTTAGTGCTAAACAGGAGTCCTCACTCACCTCAAAACAGAACAGGAGCTTTAAATAACCTTTGAACTACGATTATTTTGACACCATCACACAATCCAGGTACCCTCCCAGAAGGCAGTTGCTTTTAACTCAGGAGCAAGTCTCTGCTGTCATCCTACTCCTCACTCCCAGTTCTGACCTGTGCAGGCTCCCCAGCCCAGAGCTCAAGCTCAGCTGCACTGCATGCAGCGGTCCCCAGCCCCACTTTGACCAAGAGGCCAGAGCTCCCCCTTCCAGCTCAGCTGCCATCAAGGTCCCATTCACACCCTCTTTTCTCAGCATCTTTCAACCACTTGTGCACTTTAGCAGCCTCCCCTGTGTGTGCTTACAGACCCCCCCCATTTCTGAACCTCTGCTCCACTCATCAATGAAATCCTCTACTCCTCCCACTTGCTTTTTCCTGTGCAGATTCCCTTTGAAGCTCCTCTCCCGAGCATACAGGCAGCTAGAACCACACTGACATTGCAGCTCCCCTGCCTTCCTGGCCGTCCCTTGCAAGGGCCAAGACTAAAATCTGCCTTTGCAAATCGCAGCACCGGAGCACAGGGCTCCTGCCACCAGCGAGACACCCGACTCTCTCTCTCCATGGTGAGGCACTGTGCTGCAGCTTTCCAAGCCCTGCAGCCCAGCAGCGAGCCAACACGGTGCCTGCTGAAGCTCCAAGGGGCTGCTGCAGGCCACCAAAAGCCTCCCCACCAGGTCAGCAAGGTACCCCCAGCTGCCCCACTGCTGCACACCCACCCGTGAAACCCAGGCACAGCTAACAGCAGCCTCGCATGGACTGCAGGAGGCTCGGACAGAGCTGAAACTCCACCCAACAGCAGCGGCTGTTCTCTAACTCAGCACAGCGCTGCTTTGAAAAAACCTCTCTGGTGCTGCTGTCCTGCACACAGCATCATGAAGAATAATAAGCAGGTGCTCCTGAACACAAACCCAGAACAGGAGGAGTATAAACTACAGAGGAAGCAAGTAAGTAACCACGCTGTTCACTGCTTAGCGACAATCTTTATTCGAGCTGACTTTGCACGTTTTGGGGTTTCCTACTAAGTATAAATAAGAATCAAAGTGCTACCCCCCACAGTAAAAAATCTTTATTTCCACCAAAAAAAAAAATACAAACAACCAGTATTTCAAAGTTTATGCTTTTTAATACATATAATACCAAAAAGGAAAAAAAATTAAAAACTAGCAGCAAAAAGAATTCTATTTCTCTTTCAAAATCTGTTTGTTTCCACATTTCTCTAGCAAATAGAGTATAAAGAGAATTCAATCAATTTATATATGAAATAGCCTACCAAAAATATAACACTGTGTAAAGAAAGTTTA